TTCTGAGGTCTCCTGTCATGATCCCTCTCCAGATTAAGCTAGTTACTCCCTTTAAGTGAATTTACTTAAGCTGGGGATCAACCTTAGTCCAAACACTTTAGTCTGTCTGAAAGCCCTCACCTTTGCTTAAGCTAATCATTGTGTGTTTTGGAGGGGATCTTATAGGTGATGTGTTCCCATGCATCTGCTGCTCACATCCGTCTAGGTGGTAGTAGTCATGGGTTGTAAGGTGATGTCAGAGCATAGAGACACACAGCACAGAAACAGACCATTCAATTCAACTCGTCTGCACCAACTAGACATCCCAATGTCACGTAGTCCCATTTGCTAGCATTTGGCCCATATCCCTCAAAACCCTTCCTATTTATATACCTATTCAGATGTCTTTTAAATGTTGTAATTGTACCCACCCCCAATACGTCCTTTGGCAGCTCATTCCATACTTTCACTGCATGAAAATGTTATCCCTCCGGTCCTCTTTAAATCTTTCCTCTCTCACCTTAAACCTATGCCCTCTAGTTTTTGATTCCCCCAACTTGTAGTAAGGACCTTGCCTATTCACCCTATCCATGCTCCTAATTTTATAAAACTTTATAAGCTCACCCCCTTAGTCCTGAAGTGTGCATTTTATCTAATTTGTAACGCATTCTCCACTGTCTTGCTAAATCTCATTTATGTAGTATGCTGCATATGCAGTGTACAAAACTGTATTTTAATTAAGAAAGGTACTAAGCCTGACCGTGAAATAACACAATACAGGGCTCAGATTATATTCCTTTAATGGTTAGGTAAAATATATCAACTATAGAAACCACTACAGTATGTGAACATCACCATCTCAGATTTTAAACTAAGGGGGAGGCAATGGCTTAGTGGTATTGTCATTGGATTGTCAACCCAGAGGCCCAGATAATGTTCTGAGAACCCCGTTTGAATCCTGCCATGGCAGATGGTGGAATTTGAATTCAATTTAAAAAAAAATCTGGAATTAAGAGTCTACTGACCACGAATCCATTGTCGATTGTCAGAAAAACCCATCTGCTTCACTAAAGTCCTTTGGGGAAGGAATCTGCCACCCTTAGTCTGGCCTACATGTGAGTCCAGACCCACAACAATGTGGTTGACTCTTAACTGCCCTCTCAGCAATTAGGGATGGGCAATAAATGCTGCCTAGCCAGCAACGCTCTCATCCCATGAATGGAGGAAAATAAACTGCATGCTGTCCCATTCTGGTTCCAGGCCAGGACTGCTCACAAGCCAGCTATTATATCGTAATTTTAAAGTGTAAATTTAAAAAAACAAATAAGACTGAAGTAGAAAGTGCAGTTAGTACATTTAAAAAGAACCTAGTCGGAAAGGTCTCCCTCCATCGACAGTGGATCTAAGCTACCTGTACTGAAAATGGCAGGGGGAGGCAATGAAGAAATTGTGTCTGCTTCCCCTCTTATTGCTGTGTCAGATTTTAAACAATTAAATTAAATGTAATTTTATTTTAAGATCATGAAGTCAGTGCCCAGCTTATTTTTTTTCCCCTTTCTACCTACCAACCCACCCCTACTTTCGTCACGCAACAATAGCTGAAGCTGACCAGCAGTTCGGTGCAGAAATGAAGATACAGACTGCAATCGCACTATGCGAATGACTGAGAAAAACAGCTGTGTGTTTAGTAATAAAAAATTTGTGAATGAGAGCTAAGGTGAGGAGTGTGAAGCTACTGGCTCACCTTGGTGAATTGGTGCAGTGCATCTTGCAGATGGTACACACTGCTGCCATCCTGTACATCAGAGGTGGAGGAGGTGTATATTCAAAGTGGTGGATGGGATCTCTTTCAAGCAGGCTACTTTCTCTTTAATTGTATCAAGCTTCTTGAGTGTTGTTGGAGCTGCACACATCCAGGCAAGTGAGTAGTCACGAGTATATTAAGAGTAGAGTTCCCAGCCTCTGTTGACCTGCTGTTGTGGCTACAGTAATTGTGTGACTGGTCTGTTTAAGTGTTCGGTTGAAAGGTGACACCATCCAACCAGGCTGTTGATAGTGGGGAGATTCGGCAATGGATAAATAATTCTTTGGCACTTGTGTGATGGAATTGTTTTTTGCTACTTATTAGTCCTGTTATCCAGGCCTTACTGCCTTTAGGGATGGGCTGCTTCATTGTCTAAGGAACTGTAGATGGAACTGAATAATGTGCAAATCATACAGCACTTTCTGACCTTATGATAGAAGAAATATCATTAATGAAGCAGCTCGAGATGGTTGGGCCCAGGACGCTATCCTGAGGAATTTCTGGTATAGTTTCTGGGGCTCCTGACTAGCTTCCAACAACCACAACTATTTTCTTTGTATTAGGTAGGACTTTAACCAGCAAAGAGATTCCCCTAATTTCCATCAACTGCAGTTCTGTTGGGGTTGCTTGTTGCCATACTTGGACAAATACTGCCTTGATGTAAAGGGTTTTCGCTGTCAGCTTCACTCGAGACTTAAGCTGTCCATTTTGATCCAATGTTAAAATGAGGCTAGGAGGTGAGTGGCCCTGGGGGAATCCAAACTGGACATCAATGAGTGGAAGTTTGCTGAATAAGTGCCACTTGATAGTACCATTCATAACTTTTGATGGTGATTTGACCGGGTTGGATTTGTCCTTTTTTTTTTTGACAAGACATAACTGAGCAACTTTCCATTTTGTTGGGTATATCCCCAGTGTTGGAGGTGTAATGGAACACCTTGGCTTGGGCACAGCTAGTATGAAAATCAGTCCTCAACTCTACCACTGTGACGTTATCAGGACCTATAGCCTTTCGGTATTCAATGCCTTCAACCATTTTTAAGGTTTTTGAGTAGACTTGTAGCTCGGGTTGTGGTTGGTTGGCTCGCTGAGCTGATTCGTTGTTCCGCAGATGTTTCATTACCCTGCTGGGTAACATCATCAGTGCAGCCTCCGATGAAGCACTGTTGTGTTTTCCCGCCTTATATTTAAACTCTGGTGTCCATTGAGCTGGGTTACCTCACTTCAAGTTTTCCTTCGCAATGGAGCATATATAGGTTCTAGCTCTGTGTGTTTGTTGATGGCTTTCTTAGTGGAGAACCAGGCCTCTAGGAATTCCCGTGCTTGTCTCTGCTTTGCGTATCCCAGGATCCTGGTGTTGTCCCAATCAAACTGCTGGTTTTCCTCATCCATGTGGATGGAGATGAGTGAGTATTGGTGGTGTTTAGGTTGGTTGGCTGGCTCGCCCGCCCGCCGAGCTGGTTTGTTGTTCTGCAGATGTTTCGTTACCATGCTTGGTAACATCCTCAGTGCAGCCTCTGATGAAGCGTCGGTGTGTTTTCCCGCCTGGTTTTTAAACTCTGGGGTCCGTTGCGATGGATTGCCTCACTTCCGGGTTTCCTCCGTAGTGGAATGTATATGGGGTCGAGTTCAATGTGTTTATTAATAGCATGCTTCGTGGAGTGCCATGCTTCCAGGAATTCTCGTGCTTGTCTCTGCCCAGCCTGTCCCAGGATCTTGGTGTAGTCCTAGTCGAAGTCATGGTTCTCCTTGTCCATGTGGATTGAGATGAGTGAGTA